GCACCCGCCGCAAGCGGGCCCCTCCCCACGATGACTTCACTGCCGCGGCCGCCGCCGCGCCGCCCACCAGGAGCCCTCCACCCTTTGGAGGCGGGACACCTCGTGCTCCCATTCGGCCTCCTTCCAGCTCCTAATGATCGCAAATCCCCTCTTCTATCCCTAGCTTGAAACTTTTGGGAGGCAGTTCCCCTGCAGACCCTAAAGCACCCCACCATGGCCACCAGCTTCCCTCACCCTGGCTCCCCACCCTAAAGCACCGCTGAGCTGGAAGTTCTCACGTCCACCATCCCCTACCCCACAGCTTGGCGGGGAGACCCATGCGCCCCTCCGCCACCGTCGGTCCAGGTGTCCCCTTGGTGATTCACTGAGCTCTCCTCAGCCCCTGTGTAAGCTCAGGGATCTCGCCCCTCCCCACTGCGGCCTGCCGGGTTCCCTCAGCCATGGTTAGCGCGGTGGTGGTTTGAGCTACTACGGGAAGGACCTAGGCCAAGGAGGCCCCTGCCTGGGAGGCATACAGGCAGTTCGCATCTGGCCCTGGAACCTCCCCAAGACTCATTCTCTATCTTTGCCCTCTTCGAGACACCCGCCAGCCAACCGACCCTTCCAGGCAGCCGACCCTTCCGCAGAGGCCCCTCCTGACTCTCCCACAGATGAATCAGCCTCCATCTGCTGCAGAGGTGGTGATGTCACCCTGACCCATGCAATAGTTAGCCGGAGTGGGTATGTCGCTCCCTCCCAAGGGAAGGAACAGGGTCTTAGTCATCTTCATCACCCCTGAGCACTCAGGGAAGTGGAAAGATCAGGCATTTTGGAGCCCTATCAACCCACACTCCAATCCTGGCTTTCCCCACTCCCTTAGTCATGTGATCTTGTGCCTCCCTGGACCTCAGTTTCCCTGACTTAAAAATGGGGATAATACCTGTTTTACACGGTGGCTGAGAGGATTAAGCTGTAAAGTGCCTTACCCTTTAGTTATCACTCATAAATTCTATTGACATCTGGTACTTGGTAAACATGATGAAATGGACTGAAATATTTTGTACCCAGACTGTCATCTGGGCCATTCTGGGTAAATTATCAAGGAGAGAGGCCGACTTAGGGAATTCTACCTCCTCAAAGTTCACTGAGTCCCAGTCCAGAATACTGGTCCAGGGCCTGGAGCCCCCAGCTTGCCAATCTGGGCTGGCCTCACACTCCTGTAGCTGGAAGGCTGCCATCTTGGCTCAGTATACAGACTCTCAGGCTACCTAGGAAGAGCATGGCCAGAGTTCCTGGCTAGCCCTCTGGACTCCTCACCAGCCCTGGGCTGCCAACTCCTGCCCTGTCCCCTGTGGGATAACAGCAGCAGGAAAGCAGGATTCTGGGTGCTTTTTATGAAATCAGGGACTTGGGTTCAGGATCCTGACACCAGCATCTACCTAGGCCTTCAAAGACCACCCAGGACTCTCATTAAAACCTAGGGAGGGGGGAAAGGGGAGGGTGCCATGATTCACACCTATAATCCCAGCACTTTGGGAGGCCGAGGCAGGTGAATCACCTGAGGTCAGGAGTTTGAGAACAGCCTGGCCAACATGGTGAAACCCGGTCTCTACTAAAATACAAAAAGTTGGGCTGGGCATGGTGGCTCACTGTAATCCCAGCACTCTGGGAGGCCGAGGCAGGCGGATCACGAGGTCAGGAGATCGAGACCATCCTGGCTAACATGGTGAAACCCTGTCTCTACTAAAAATACAAAAAATTAACCAGGCCTGGTGGCACGCGCCTGTAATCCCAGCAGGAGAATGGCTTGAACCCGGGAGGCGGAGGTTGCAGTGAGCTGAGATCGCACCCCTGCACTCCAGCCTGGGCAACAGAGCAAGATTCTGTCTAAAAAACAAAAAACAAACCAAAGAAACCAGGAGGGATTATAGCCCTGTCCTCACGAGCCTAAAGGGCTCCCTTTAGGTCCCTGAAGACAGCTCCAGATCTGATCTTGATCCTGTTGCCATACTAATAGCTTACACAGCACAGCCTGGTCACCCCCATTAGCCATTTGTGGGCTTTATAAACTCATTATCTGAGTCAGCTCACAATGTTATGAAGTAAGGACCTGTACGACTACAGCTGTGTGACCGCAGGCCAGACAACTCACCCCCGTGAACCCCAATTTCCTACCCTATAAAATGAGGATGATCATCTTTGCCTTGCCTGCGTCCCAGGGTTGTGGGTAACGAGGTAAGATGATGGATGAGAAAATGCTGTGCAGACTGTAAATCCAGGGTTTGGGTGGAAGGTGGGTCTGTGTGTTTACAGGTGAGATCAGAAGCCACAGAGATAGGTGTGTAGAGCACTTGCCCAAAACCGTGCTATAATTTCAGGATTAGAACTGAGGGACTTGGGCCCTTAGTTCAGTGCTGTTTTGTTTTATTTTTAACTATCAGTTAAGAAATGGGGCCAGGCACGGTTGCTCATGCCTGTAATCCCAACACTTTGGGAGGCCAAGGCCAGGAATTCAAGACCAAACCAGCCTGGGCAATATAGGGAGACCCTGTCTTTTTTTGAGACAAGTCTCTGTCGCCCAGGCTGAAGTGCAGTGGCTCAATCTTGGCTCACTGCAACTTTCATCTCCCAGGTTCAAGCGATTCTCCTGCCTCAGCCTCCCTCGTAGCTGGGATTATAGGCACAGGCAACCAAGCCCAGCTAATTTTTTTATTTTTAGTAGAGATACAGTTTTGCCATGTTGGCCAGACTGATCTCGAACTCCTGACTTCCAGTGATGCGCCTGCCTCTACCTCCCAAAGTGCTGGGATTATAGGCATGAGCCACCATGCCCAGCCTGAATACACCATTCTTATCAAAAATTTAAAAATGAATCTAAAGTTCCAGTTTGACTGTCTCCTTCAACTCTAGTCCCCTCCTAAGAAGTAGCCGCAGTCGTCGGTGTGAAACAGGTTTCCCCACCATGTTCACACATTTATAGTCAAGCATGGATTCAACACATATTTACTGAGCACCTGTTGGGGGCCAGGAGCTGTAAACAAGCAAACAAATCAACAAGGAGGCTGTGCACAGTGGCACACCCCTGTAATCCCAGCACTTTGGGAGGCCGAGGCAGGTGGATCACTTGAGGTCAGGAATTCAAGACCAGCCTGGCCCATGTGGTGAAAATCCATCTTTACTAAAAATGCAAAAATTAGCCAGGTGTGGTGGCACACGCCTGTAATCCCAGCTACTCAGGAGGCTGAGGCAGGAGAATCGCTTGAATCCGGGAGGCAGAGGTTGCAGTGAACTGATGTTGCACCACTGCACTCCAGTCTGGGTGACAAAGTGAGACTCTGTCTCAGAAAAAAAAAAAAAAAAAACCCAAAAACGAAAAACAGGCCGGGCGCGGTGGCTCATGCCTGTAATCCCAGCACTTTGGGAGGCCGAGGCGGTCAGATCATTTGAGGTTAGTAGTTCGAAACCAGCCTGGTCAACATGGTGAAACCCCATCTCTACTAAAAATTAAAAAATTAGCTGGGCGTGGTGCGTGCCTGTAATCCCAGCTACTTGGGAGGCTGAGACAGGAGAATCACTTGAGCCTGGGAGGCGGAGGTTGCAGTGAGCCGAGATCATGCCATTGTACTCCAGTCTGGGTGACAGAGTGAGACTCTGTCTCAAAACACAAACAAAAACGAAAACAAGGAGAACCTCAGGTGGTGACTGGTGCTATGACAGGGAATGATGGGGACACACAGCATAGCCAGGGAAGACCTCTTTGAGATGGTGACATCATTTAGGCTGAAGAACACCTAACTCCCAGGAAAGCAAGTTGAATGCAAGCCAGTGAGAGCTGTCAGTATAGGTAGAGTTTGAATCCTTTCTCTCTTTTTTCGAGACAGGGTCTCACTTTGTCTCCCAGGCTGGAGTACACTGGCACAATCACGGCTCACTGCAGCCTCCACCTCCCGGACTCAAGCGATCCTCCCACCTCAGCTTCCCGAGCAGTTGGCACTAACAGGCATGCACCACCACACCCAGATAATTTTGTTTATTTTTTGTAGAGGTGGGAGTCTCACTATGTTGCCCAGGCTGATTTTGAACTCCTGTAATCAAGCACTCCACCTGCTTTGGCCTCGCAAAATGCTGAAATTATATGCACAAGCCCCCACATCTGGCTGAATCCTTTCTAATTTCTTCCCAGGTAACGGCTGCAGGTGTCCAGCCATGGGGCAGGATCCTGGCAGGGAAGGGCTGGCTCGGCCAGAGAAGGAAACAGTTCTGTAAACAATTCTGCCTGTAGCCTAATAAAGGCAGGGAAAAGGAAACCAGAGGAACCATGGGAACCTAAAGGAGGCCCCTGACAGTTTGAGGCAGACGGTCGTGTTTTTCCACGCACCATTCTTCTAGCCAACATGCTTTGTAGGATGGCTTTGCAGGAGGGAGGTACAAAAGCAAGATTAAAAAACAAGAACGTGGCCGGGCACAGTGGCTCACGCCTGTAATCCCAGCACTTTGGGAGGCTGAGGTGGGCAGATCATTTGAGGTCAGGAGTTCAAGACCAGCCTGGCCAACACGGTGACACCCCATCTCTGCTAAAAATACAAAAATTAGGCCAGGCGTGGTGGCTCATGCCTGTAATCCCAGCACTTTGGGAGGCCAAGGCGGGCGGATCATGAGGTCAGGAGATTGAGACCATCCTGGCTAACATGGTGAAACCCCGTCTGTACTAAAAAAATACAAAAAATTGGCTGGGCATTGTGGTGGGCACCTGTAGTCCCAGCTGCTCAGGAGGCTGAGGCAGGAGAATGGCATGAACCTGGGAGGCGGAGCTTGCAGTGCGCCAAGATCGTGCCACGTCACTCCAGCCTGGGCAACAGAGCACAACTCCATCTCACAAAAAATAAAAATAAAAAAATAGCCAGGGGTTGTGGCAGTCGCCTGTAAGCCCAGCTACTCCGGAAGCTGAGGCAGGAGAATCGCTCGAACTCAGAAGGGAGAGGTTGCAGTGAGTAAAGATGGTGCCACTGCACTCCAGCCTGGGTGATAGAAAAAAACCAAACCAAACCAAACCAAAACAACAACAACAAAACAAAAACAAAAACAGGCTGGCACGGTGGCTCACGCCTGTAATCCCAGCAGTTTGGGAGGCTGAGGTGGGCAGATTACCTGAGGTCAGGAGTTCGAAACCAGCCTGGCCAACATGGTGAAATCCCGTCTCTACTAAAAATACAAAATTAGCCAGCCACGGTTGCATATGCCTGTAATCCCAGCTACTCAGGAAGTTGAGGCAGGAGAATCGCTTGAACCCGGGAGGTGGAGGTTGCAGTGAGCTGAGATGTGCCATTGCACTCCAGCCTGGGCAACAAGAGCAAAACTCCGTCTTGAAAAAAAAAAAAAATCTAAGGTTTAAATGTTTTCCCAACATGGAATCTCATCATCCTTACTTTGGATCCAGTGTGCTGAGAAAAATTTAAGACTCCGTCTCAAAAAAGAAAAAAATTATTTTTCTCACTTGTGGAATCTAAAAAAGTTGATCTCATAGAAATAGAGAGTAGAGGCCTGATGTGGTAGCTCACGCCTGTAATCCCAGCTACTTGGGAGGCTGAGGCAGGAGGATCGCTTGAGCCAGGGAGGCAGAGGTTGCAGTGAGCTATGATTGTATCACTGCACTCAAGCCTGGGCAATGGAGTAAG